GTCTCCCGGGAATGAGGGTGGGGTGGGGTGGGGCGGGGTGGGGTGGAGAAGGACCGGGAGCGGGCCGGCCGGCCGGCGGTGGGTGATCCCGGGACGCTGGGGTTTAGGATGAGGGCGGGGTAAAATGGGGAGCAGAACCGTACCCTACGAGCCTCACATCCTGGGCTATCCGCTCTTAAGTCCTCCTTTTCCACCGAGATCTGGACCCCGCATCCAAGACCTCCCAGCTCGACCTTGGCACTAATATGAGGGGTGTCACAGCTGGCTGGCAGCTGGATGGGGGGCACTCCTCCCACCTTCTTCCTCTATGACTCACGCGGGGGAAGGAGGACTTGCACACGACCCCCCCCAAGCATTAGAGACTCCCCCAAACGTGCATACTGTTACCATGCTGTCCCGCAACCCGGCCGCCGCGAGGAGCGATGGAAGTGGGGAGACTTCCCTCTTCTACGCGTGCCACAGCCCACCCACGTCTCCCCTTCACACCAGTAAAAGGAAAATGTCGCTAACTTTTCCAGTTTCAGTGAACTTTTTCTGGGGATGGGTAAGAGTGCAAGCGGGATGAAGCAGGAGGGCCTAAGGGTTCCTCAGTCCGAGGCCTGAGTCATCTTTGGTGTCTTCCTATTTTCTAGAGTTCTCCGGTACCCCCGCTCCCCAACTCCCAGAAGCCAGCCCCGCCCCCTCTCCCGGTCCCGCCTTCCCCGCCCCCGTGCCTTCTCGGCCCACCCAAGTCGCCGCCGCAGGCTCTGGCTGCAGACAGCTCCGCTTCCCCCGCCCGCCCCGGGAGCCCAGTCAAGCGAGCAGCAGTGGGGGGGGGGTGAGGGGTAGGGCACATTCTTCCCTCCTCCTCCTCCTGCTCTCAGCGCACCCAGAAAATAGGCAGTGGCGCCTTGGGGGGTTCTGTTGGAAAGCAGGGGGTCTATATGGTGGGGTGCAAAGAATTCAGAAACTATAGGGAGAATGCGTGGGTGAAAAAAAATAAGGTGCACATGAGAAGGAGGAAGACACCTTAGGTTCCTGGGTATCCCAGCCAGCTTCCTAAGGGTTAACACCTCCAGACCCCCGGGAACCCCCTAGTGACGTCAAGGGCGGGGTCTGAGTCTCCGCACGGGGATGCCGCGGAGATAATGGGGGGGGGTCTCTGGACTCCGCCCCCTAGGGAAAACTACCCTCATTTCGGTCCTTACGTCTCCCCCAGGAAGCCTCCCAGCCTCCTACCTCCACTGGGTGGAAAGTTATCCCATAAAGACCCCAGTTCTCCAGTCCCCTAAGCCTCTCGTCTCTACGGGGTCCCCTTTCCCTAATTCTGTCCCCAAAGCTAGCTGCTCAGGGCTGATTGTTTCGGGGTCATGGGGCCTGAAAGAAGCTTCAGAGAGGGGAGCAAGGGCAGGCATGGTGGTCTGAGCCAGAGGAGGGGCCTCGGGCTCCAGCTCCCGTTTGGGCGGGGGCCAACGGGGATACACAGGCTGACTGTGGTCCCTCTCAGCCCAGTAGGGGTCTCCCTGCGGCTGGCTGCAGCCGCCCTGGTGGTCCTGAGGTCAGAGGATCAAGACAAGGTCTCCCAGCTCCTCTTTAACGCTCTGTCCTTGGGACTCAGGCGTCCACAATTCCTAGAAGTTTTTTTCTAAGGCCTAACCTGCACCTTGGACAGCCTCTCTCCGGCCCTTTTCCTAGTCCCGAGTGCACTTCTTTCCCTTAAATGTGCAAGCAACCGCGGGCACATCTGTCACGAGACAGGTCAGGGGTCCGAGCCCAATCGGCCTCCAGTGATGTTACTGCTTTTCACACTACACATCCAGTTCCCATCCCACCTAGAATCCCCCCTTAGTGGTAGGTCCCCTCCATTCAGCCACTGACGTCTTCCTGACCTACGTCAAGAGACGCACCTGGATCCCTTTCTACTACACAGACCTCCAGCGGGCCATCCCAATAGCCTCTTCATCCCAACTGCAGGCAAAGGAGATGTTCTAATTTGTAGAAGTGGGGACAGACAAAGAGACCCAGGATTGCCTGAGACAGACACACAGACTGTCAGAAGAAAAAGAAGAGATACAAGAAAGGAGTCACAAGTGAAAAAATTCTCCAAACTTTCTACTGTCTCGCCCATTGTCTACCGCCCCACTCTTCCTGAGCCCCAGGTCACCCTCAGGGCTGGGATGAACCCCGCTCAGCGGAGCATCCCCTCTGGCCCCCTCCCCCACCACTCCCAGGTGGTCCCCCGCCCGCCCCCCTTCTCACCTCCGTCTGGGCGCTGGGCTCGGGATGCGCGGTCCAGGGCTGGAGTCTGGGCTGGGGGGTGTGCAGTGGGGAGGGGGGGCGGACAGGGCCGCGGCAAGCAGCCTCAGTGCCACCCACCCCCCCCAACCTGGCCCCCAGCCCTCCCGCCGGCCCAGCCCGCCGGGCCGCAAGCCGGGACCACCCGCGAGAAGCGCAAACTTTTTTTTCCTTTTGCAAAAACTTTTTCTCGCTCTGGCCGCTTGGCGCGCCGCTGCTCTTCCCGCTCGCCCCTTACCTCCCTCCTATTTCCCTCCCAGTGGCCGTACTGGAAGACGAGGTGGGGTGGCTGAAAGCGAGAGAGGGGGTGCCGGGCTTATTGCACCCCCAGGACCCCCAGGATCCACCCCCTCCCTTGAGGGACTCTATACTGCCTCCCCCCCCAACACGCTGTGTTGGTGGGCAGTAAATCCCGGAATGGAATTTTCTGGATCGGCCATCCTCGAAGAGGCCCTAAACCAGAGACAGCAAAGCATCCGGGAAAGTACTTCGGGGCGAGGAAAGGAGAAAGAGAAGTTCACCCGAGAAAGAACACTGAAGGTAGGGTCATCGATTTTTGTGGGGATTGACTGAGCTTCCATCACTATCTGGCTTATTGACCAGCCTCTCACTTTGGGTGGACTTTGGGGTGGGAAAGAGTGGGGGTTTGGACCAACTGGATTCAGGAGTTGGTGGCTGTGAAGGAAGGTTAGGGGTACAGATAGCATAAAAGAGAGGCAAAGTGACTAAAGCTCCGAGTAGTGTTGACAGGGTCACTAAGAAGCCGGGGGTCCAAAACACCTTTCCCGCGAAACCAGCTCTTTCTAAAGACGGGCCACCTCCGCACCTCTCGGCTGCCCTCTTTCTACTCTTTAAGGCATTTTGCTCCCTCTGCTGGCCATCCTCGCACATGACATCTTCTTAGAGTCTGACCGCAGACCAGGAAGCTGAAGAGGTAACCCTGCCTGAGAGGTTCCCCGCTAAATCTCAGTTAGGACCCTAGGGAGGGGAAAGCATGAGCCCAAAAAGCAGAGGGATGCACCCAAGGAGGCTGCTAGAGGCCAAAGATAGTGCGGGAGGGGGTACATTTTCCCTTTGGATTTGTGTTGCCATGGTGACCAGACGCAGGGATGGGCAACTATTTCAGTCTCTGACCTTTCTAAGAAATAAGAGAAAGGATGATGAGAAAAAGGAGTCCCTTTCCCTTCCTGTCACCTCTCAGCCAGCCCTCCCACATCCTCAGTCTGCTTCCAAGGACACTTTTTGGGCCTGGTAGGGCAGGCAGTGGGTTAACTGTTCAATTTGAGGGTCAGAGCGGGAAGAGCTGAAGTCTGAGGCAGATCTGGGACCCTTCAGGTATGGTAGTGAGTGTGGGGATGGGGGCCGATAAGAGCCGTATTGGAACCTATATTCCCATATGACTGAACAGGCCAGTTATACTGAGAAGCTCAGGGACTCAACTCAGACCCAATTAGTGAAAAAGAAGGGGTCCCGTGTGTGTTTCTTATGTTTTTTTCTCGGCCACTTGCCTCTTATTCCAGGACAGCTTTTTTTTTTTTTTTGGACAGCTCTTTTGGAACACAATATAGACCAGTAATTCTTTTGTTTGTTTGTTTCTTGCAGTAGGGTTACACTACGTAATCCAAGCTGGCCTTGAACTCACTATGGAGCCCAGGTTAGCCTCAAATTTACAGCAATTCTCCTGCCTCAGCCTCCCAAATGCTGGGATTACAGTTGTGTGCCACCATGCCCAGGAAAGATTTGCAAGTGGGCAATTTATAAGTGTTTTGGATTCAAGACTCCACTATACTCTTTAAAATTGCTGAGGTTCCCGCCCACCGTGTGTCTTGTCTTCCCCATCAATTCATCATGTTAGAAATTAAAATAGAAAATCATAACAAGAATACACAAGCTCACATTCCATTAACAATGATGTTAGAAAGATGATGTAATCACGTCACACTGGAAAACTTCACCGTACAATTTTGAGATAATGAGCAAATAGCATGTTAGCATTATGATAAAAATGCTCTTGACCTGCAGAAGTTCTTGAAAGGACCTTAGGGACCTTCCAGAAATCCACAGAACACATGTGAGAGCCATTGCTGAGGATCATCACCACTACCTTTTTTCATGATTCACATCTGTTGATTTCCTTTATTTTTTATTTCCTTTATTTTTATTAAGAAATTATAAATGCTCATCTCCCCAGTGGTTCTGTCCCCCAGAGAAAACCAGACAACTTCTTAGGCTGCGTACCCATTTTCCCTGCCTCTTCTTTTTTTAGTCAGTTTTTTTGAGGTGGGCTGGAGATTGAACCCAAGCCTCCCATGTGCCAGGCAAGCTCTCTACCATTGAACTATACCCCTGTACCTTTCTGGTGCTCTCTGGGGCTCTACTAAGCACCCTCCCCAGGCAGCTTGCCCATGTGTCTCTTGACCCTCCCTTAAATTAAAGCCCTTAAACTAGGGGTGCTGGAGCATACTTATAATCCTAGCACTTGAGAGGTTGAGAGGGGAGGATTAGGAATTTGAGGCCAGCCTGAGCTAATAGATCATGCCAAGAAGAGGGAGAAGGAGGAGAAGATGGAGAAGGAAAAGGAGGAGGAGGAAGAGGAAAGAGGAGGAGAGAGAGAAGGAGGAAGAAGAAGAGGAGGAGAGGGGCCGGGGAGATGGCACAGTAGGATAAGCGCTTGACTGGCAAATGCAAGGATCTGAGTTCAATCCTCGGTTCTGCAAAAAAAGAGGAGGAGAAGGAGAAGAAGAAGAAGCAGCCCTCAACAGTCCCTGTCCTCTGCCAGCCTCTTTACCCCATCCCAAGGTTTCCGGGCCTTCTGCTTTCTTTTTCCATTACCAGAGGACTTTCAGTTCTGGGAGAGACTAATTTTTCTCTGCCTTTTCTTTCCCTCCCTCCCTCACCAGCCCCTGCCATTTTCTCACAGGGGTTAAGGTAGGAAATCGTGCTGTCTGGGTTGTCCTCTTACCAGAAGTACTTTACCTATCACTCCACACATCAACCAGCCTGCAGTAGGCCAGTGTCTGGGACAGGAGAGCACCACTGGGGCATAGGTGTCAACCCAGTCATACTCTTTGGCAGCCTATTGGGTGGGAGTATGGATCTGAAAACTTGATGCCCCCAGACACAGATACCCTTTTCCTAAAAACCCCCAACTTGATCTCTTCACTCTAAACCCCTGAGTTCTGTTAGCTGCAGCCGCAAGCCTCCACCACCATATCTGGCACATCTGTCTTGACCACATTTCCATTGCCGTCGAGGTAGAGAAGGGAGAGAGGTCTTCGGGCAGTGGGCACACAGCAGGAGGTGCCTGCAGGCGAAGGGTTGTTGGCTTTGAGGAGGTTGAAGACTGTAGAGTGGAAGGAGGCAGCAATCCCGGGGCTGCCCGCCAGATGAGGGGGGCACTGTCCACTGCAGTAATTTAGCTGGTACCCCTCTGGCTGTAGGATCCAGTCTCGCCATCCAAGTTCTTGGAAGTCTACATAATAGTCTCGCCTACAACATAAGAGGGTCTCAGGCTCACAGATGGGGGTCCTCCTCCTGGTCCGACCTGCTCCAGGCTCGTAGGGGCGAATCTTAAGCTCCAGAAAGGGACGGTGGTATGCTGCTGTGTCCAGGCGCTGCCTCGGTGGTCCCGCAGCAGCTGTGCCATTGTCTTTGAGAGGTCTGCAGTCCAACTGGAGTTTCACCGTCCCAGACTCTTCACCCCTCAAGCCACCAGAGGGCAGAATCAAGGCGTGCCAGCCGGGAGCATTTATTTGGTGCTCCGCCAGGAGAGCAGGCAACCTTCCGTGCCTCCTCCCTGGGCTCCGCTGGAAGATCCTCAGGTGAAGAGTGCCCGGAGGGGTGGGGAGAACATGCAGCCAGAGGCGGGCGTGGTACAGGTGGTGGGACTGAAGGGTGGACAGCTGAAAAGTGAGCATGGAGCTGCAGGTGGAAGTGGAGGAATCTAGAAAGACAGCAAAAAGAAAGAAATGTGAGCAGAGGTGTGAAATTCCCCAAGCCTCCAGCTGGTCTCCCTCACACCACCAGAGGCAGGATGCAGGATGCCTGTGTCCTTGTAACCACTCTCTGCCCAGCTCCTCCTCCTCCTCCTGCCACACCCTGCTCCCTCCACCTCCTGTCAGGCTCTCTTCTCCCTCCCCCTCCCACCTGCCTCCTGCCTGTCTCTCCTCACCCACCTGTGGTGGTAGCAAAGCTGATGACCTCCTCCCCCTTCCTTGGAGCCACAGTCCCAGGCTGCAGTCTCAGGACGGCTCTGCTCAGTGCTGCCTGAGGTGGAGGATGAGTTATTCTGGGACGGCTGGTCAGGTGCAGCCCCTTGAGGATCTGTTGCTTGGCTAGCTCCAGCACCAGAGCTCGTTCTGCTTGAAGTGCCAGTGCTGGGCCCCCACAGGATGGGCATGCAGATCCTGCACCCTCTACCCACACCAGTGCCCACAGCAGCACCAGCCAGAGCTGGCCATTAAGGAGTTCCATGCTCCTGGTGGACGGTCCTGGGTCAGGAGCTGAAGATGACAGTTTCTCTTCTATTGAGTTTGATTGCATTGAAGCCAATGAAGGCACAGCAGTGGCCAGTGTCAGTGCCACAGCTGCCTTCGACCAAGGGTAGGGCCACTTCTATGACCTGGGACTCAGAAAGGCTGAAAGTGGACTGTCCGATGGATAGCTAGGTTTGACCCTCCAGTTCATGACTGGCTACTGCCCTGAGGCCTCTTTAGAGCCAACCACCCGGGACTCCCCCACCTCGTAGTCGCCCAGTGGACCTACCCCCTGAGCCTTAGGATTGGTTGGCTGTGCTGCCCATCAGGTCCCTGCAGGGGTGGAGGTCCCCCCCTCAGCTCGGGTTTCACCATCTGGCTGTGGTGGCTTGAGGTAGGGGTAAGGGGGCAGCAATGTGGACATGCATGATGCAAGAAAGAGGATGATTTCACATGCTCAGTTCCCAAGGTCTGGGGCTCTGAGGAGGGGCTGCATATGTGCCAGGTGGGGAAGGGCAGTTTCCCCCAGTGTCTGGTCTATCTAGCTTGCTCAGGTGTCATGCTGCAGCAGTTTCCATGAGGCAGCTGTGGATTCCAGTGATTATTTCTCTGGAGCCTCTGGGCCAGAAAGAGAATGCTGGTCTTTATTTCTAACGGGGGTGGGGGGCAGGACTGGGGGTGGGTAAGAGGCTGGGTGGTGGTGGTAAGAGAGTAGAGTCCTCTTACTCAGGCCAAGGTGGAAGTGCTACAGGACACTGAAGTCACCCCTTGTTCCTGCCTGTGCTGGCTGCCCAGAGTCCAGTTGGACTGCAGTGCAATGTGGAGGAAGGCCAGGGCAAGAGCCGGGGGACGTGCTCCTGTGATGACTGGGGAAACCCAGAAGGTGGGGGTTGGAGTGATGCAATCTTACAGCAGGGCAGAGTTCAGCCATCCAGGCTGGCAGAGGGCATGCGACTTGGGAGGCCCTGTACCCAGGTACTGTCTCTCTTTCAAGGCATTGTAAGAATTGCCTACATGTGAAGCATTCTAGAAGAGGTGCCAGCCAGCCATTGTCAATGAAGTTAGGAAGTGGGAGGCTTAAGGGCTTTTAAGAATGAAGCAGCAACCTTACTTCCCAACCTCAGCCTTCCTCACCTACTTACCATCCATTCTCTTTCATATGCTAAACATCTGGGCTCAAGCAATCCTGCTGCCTCAGCCTCCTGAGAAGCTGGAAACACAAGCATGAGCCATGGTCTCTGGCCCTCACTCACTTTAAATGGGAATAGAAAATGGATGGGCCTCAGGCTAGCTTTCTCCCTCATGGCCCAGTTTCTTCAAGAAGCTGGAGGAGGTGTCAGGGAGAAAGCTGTGGGGAAAGAGTGTGATTTAGAAGTGTGTCCCTATTCCACTTATTCATCTTTTCCTTGTTTAGTTGGTGGGGCTGTCAGGAGAGCCGGAGACCTGGAGCCAGGAAGGTGGGTCACCCTGAGGACTGAGCTTCAGTACCAGCAGCGTCCACCATGTGGCAGCGCGGTGCCACTGGACAGCAGCTGGTTTACAGCTGACCAGAGCTTTCCAGAGACAGGAAGAGACTGCCGAGGCAGTAGAGTAATGGCAGTATGCCTCACTCTCTTATTCTGGGGACCCTGCCTCCCCCACAGGAGGCAGGGAGGAGCCAGTTCTCTCCTGTTCCCTGTTACCACTGCCAGAGAACAGAGGCTGTTCTCAGCTGCATCCCTGCTACCTTCAGTGTTAGATCTCAGCACGATGACACGTGGCACCGCAGCTTAGTGATGGTGCCAGGCTCTTCCTAGAAATTCAGGGTGCCATGAGGTGGGGAGGAACTGGAGGGGTCAGTGAGACTCTCAGACGCTGCTGTCCACCCCGCATTTCTCCCCAGGCCCCAGACCAGCCCTCTGGCCAGTGTTTTCCCCAGAGCCTAGAGCCCAGGTGAGTGACTATGAAACTGCAAAGTGGAGGTATCTGCCAGTGGTGGTACCGAGGAGGGCTTACGGGTTGGTGCCAGGAGACAGGGGAAGTAGCAAGAAGTGGCTGTGGGAGTCACTCAGCCCACCTCTCCACAAGCTCTGTCAGGTGCCCCCAGTTTCCAGCTCTTCCCACCCCCTTGCTGCTGTGCCAGGCCTGGCCCTACCTCCCCACTGACACTTACGTCAGAACTCAGCTATAAATACGCTTTCAGTATCTTAGTCACTTCTCCCAAGAAGCGCTCCCAGGTTATAAATACCCCAGCCATCTGCCTCACTGCTGCCCGCCATCAACTTGGTTGGGGGCTGGGGGTGGCAACAGGCTTGGGGGTCGGTAAGGAAGTAGAAATACTTATCTCTTCCCTGAAGGAATCTAGAGCCAGGGCTCAGAAGCTCAGGAGGAAAATGTCTGGAACAAGACAGACCAGCTCTTTCCCTTTTTTCAAGAATCAGAGCTAAAAAGGAAAGGGAATAGTATGGATCCCTTGCTTATTTTAAAATATGCTGTTCTGTTCCTCATGGATGTTCTGAATTAATTTTGATCCTTAAAAATATTGCATTCAGATATTTCTTATTTTGATTATTCTCCTCCTTAAAAGTTTTGGCCCCCCAGATGAGCATCTTAGTTTGCCTTAACCCAGTCTTTGTCTTCAGAACTAAAGCTGTAGTTGAAGGGAAGGAGATTTGGTCTCAAAGAGGGGTGGAGTGGGGGATGCAGGCAGAAAGAAGAGAGACACCAGAACCCCTGCCTAGGTGAAAGTCTCTTCAAGTTAAAGGTTGGATAACAGATATTTTTTGTTTGTTTGTTTGTTTTATGTATTTGGTATAGAGTCTCATTGTGCTGCTTGCAGCTTGGACTTGTAGTGATCCTCCAGTTTTCAGCCTCCCCAGCACTGGGATTACAGGTGTGCACCACAACAGTGGCAGGCTCAGTGCTCCTGAAGGCGGGGCCAGCAAGGAATTTGGTCGTCCTTGTGCTTACGTAAGCAGGCACTTAGTCTGCTGAGCTATTGAGATTGGATCTCACTATATAGTTTTTGGTTTTTTTGAGACAGGGTCTCCCTATGCAGTTTTAGGCTGGCCTTGAGCTCACTTTGTAGCCCAGGCTGGTATCAAACTTGCAATGAGCCTCCTGTGTCAGCCTCCTAACTGCTGGGATTATAGGTGTGCACCACCATGCCTGAAGTTCACTATGTAGCCCAGGCTGACCTCAAACTCATGGAGATCTACCTGCCTCAGCCTTCTGAGTTCTGGGGTTACAGGTGCATGCCACTGTACCCGGAAAAAGTTGGATAATCCTATGGGCTTCTAAGTCCTTAGAAGTTCCCTTTCTGGGGCTGGGGAGATAGCTCGGTAGTCTAAGCACCTGCCTGGTAAGTGCAGTGACCTGGGTTTGATTTCTGGTACTGCATGCTGTGCCGGCACACTCCTGTAATCCCAGTATTGTGGGGGCTGAGACAGGAGGATTACTATGAGTCCAAGCTGTGTAGTGAGACCATGTACCAAATAAATAAAATATTAAAAAAAAAGAAGTTCCCCTTCAGGATTTCTCCTCTAGCCCCCCCCCCCCATTTCAGGGACCTCTTACCCTGCTGGGAGGGGTTATAAACTGAGCAAATACAGACATCACGTTCCCAAAGGACACATGGGCTTTGCGCAAACTCGGCCTTGGGCTACAGACAGTATCGACCCCATGGTCCAGCCAAAGGGGAAAGGCGGAAAAAGGGCCAAAGGTTAAAGAACACCCATTCTCAGAGCAAATGCCACCTTTTCTTTGTCCCAGATCTTCGTCTCCCTGTTCTTCTGAACAGGCTCTTGCCAGTTCCAGCTGGCAGGCAGGACTCCTGGAGGGAACCCCGGAGGTTGGGGGAAGGCGAGCCAGAGGTCCTGGCAGGCAGCTATGAGCGTGCCTCAGCCTCCCACCACATGTGTGTCCACAGTGTCCGCTTACTTGATGATTGATGATTGATCTGTCTTATCTCTTCAGCAATTATAGAGGGAAGAGGAGGAGAACAAGAAAAACGAGTTCTTTATTGGCCATGAGACCATCAAATGATGACTCTGGGAGGAAGGAGGGGGCCTGAGGAAGAAGAGGAGGCAGCCTGGGGGAGGAAGAGGTGTGAAACTAGGTGGATACAATATCTCAGCCCTGAGGACTCTGTGTGAAAAGCAAGAGAGGGCGTCCAGACTGCGTCATCTGGGACATTAGTTTGAGCCCTGGCAGGAAATAGGGGAGCCCTTAGCTATCTGTGTTTGTTTCATTAAGGTGACTCAGTGAAGAAATTATTTACAAAGGATCTAGACAGAGCTAAGGGAAACAACAAAGGATGTTGACACGCTAGGGACTAGGAAAGGGGAAAGCAGTTAGGATCCTCTAGTGTTGACAGCCTCTCAGAACCTAGGCAGAGCTAGGCCTGTGGAGGAGGGGAGGCAGATGGGAGCTGTGCAGACACACCACAGCCACAGTTGCACAGAAGCACGCACATGGGCCAAGGGGAGCAGGAATAAGATACACCCTGTTCTTACCCTTCTGTTTTCTGCTTGGGTCTCCCTTTAGTCAAACCCAGCAGGAAGTCAGGGTGGGGAAGTTCGGGTGATATGGCTCAGGTGAATCAGCCCCCAAAAGGCATGTAGCAAGGTAAAGAAGGATGAGGAGTAGATGAGGGTGTGCAGAGAGCACTGGCATCCACCTGGGCAAGCAAGAATGGAAGGACCTTAAGACGCAGAAGCAGATGACAGTCACCTTTGGAATAGTGATTTAATGTCTGGTGAGTCCAAGGAAGGACTCTGGCTGGCCAGAAAGGTCAGGGGAGGGAGTCGAATGAACTCGTCCTGGTGTGGGGGCCATCAGGTGGAAAGGGGAGGGAGACTTGGTGGGTGGTGGGGCTGATTTTGGATGAGTTAAGTGTGCCATGGCTTGGGACCCAGATGGCATTGCCCATGGTTAAGGGAATCAGTCCCTGAAGTGGGTTTGTGCATGAAGGAGCTGATGGATAAACTAAGCCCTGGGACAGAGATTGGTGGCCGTGAAAACAGTACCATGACTGTTCTTACTGTAGGGCTCCCGACCTTGGAGGTTGCTCAGGGAGAGACAGTCCACATTATGGACAGAGGCATGAATGGGGTCCTTCCCTCTTGAGAAAGGGCACCTCTGTGACATCATATTTGCCCATCCTACCTGGGGGTGCTACTATCAGACACAGACTAACTGCACCCACAGGCTTCTACCACCATGTCAGGTATGTCAGTCTTGACAATATTGCTGTTCCTATCATAGTAGAGTAGAGACAGGGGCCGTTGGACTGTGGGCACACAGCATGAGCCCCCTGCTCCAGCGGCTGTGTTGGCTTTGAGAAGATTGAATACTGCAGTGTGGAAGGATGCAGCAATGCCAGGTATGCCTGCCACATGCAGCGGGCACTGCCCTGTGCAGAAGTTCATGGCATAGCCTTCAGGTTGGATGATCCAGTCTTGCCAGCCAATCTCACGGAAGTCTACGAAGAACTCTTGTCGACAGCACATCCTGGACCCTCCCTGGCAGTCAATGCCTCGTCGGCGAACCCGGTGCTTGCTCCCAGGTCTTACTCGAGCTGCCACGAAAGGCCTATGGGCAGTATCACTCATGATGACTGAGCTCTGGGCTACCTGGCCTTCGGGCACCAGCTCCAGGGTAAGGTGCCCCTGGCTACAGGCAGCCTGAGCTTCAGGCCCTAGTGTGAGCTGGTGCCAGCCGCTCACACCCACCTCCAGCAGGTGCTGACTAGCTATGGTGAGGTTGGTGTCGTGTGGGCTTAGTGCAAAGACCCTGACATTTATACTCCAGGTGCTGTTGGGAGGGAGCTGCACAAAGAACATGAAGCTCGCCTGGCGGATCTCCATGCCACCAGCAGTCTCATCAGAGGAAAAGTGGAAATTGAGACGAGTCTGGTTGATGCTGGAGAAGCCTGTGGACACAAGAAGCCGCAGTCAGTATGGTTTTCTAAGTGTCAATTCTTCTTCTTCTTCTTCTTCTTCTTTTTTTTTTTTTTTCCTATTTTAGGGAAGGGTCTATGGGGTATTAAGGGTTTCACTACTAGATTGGACTTGCAGTGATCCCCCCGTTTTACAGCCTTGCAAGATCTGGGATTACAGGTGCGTGCCACCATGCCCAGTCTCAATTGCCATCTCAGCGTGCCCCAAGGGTGGGGCTGGCATGGCAGGCCTGGAGATTGAACCCCTGGCCCCTGTGCCTGCTTGCAGGCACTCTACTCCGCTGAGCTATTTGGTCAGCCCTCTAAGTGTTAATTCTACCATTCCTTTTTTTCCTTTTGATACTTGGCACTGAATCCAGGGGCTCATGCTAAGCTATATCCCTTGTGTCTCTACCCTTTTCTTTGCTGGGGATTGAACTCAGAGCCTTTAAGCTGAGTTACAGATCCACACTCCTCTCTTTTTATTTTGAGACAGGCCCTCACTAAGTTGATAAATTGCCCAGACTTGGCTTGAACTTGTGATTTTCCCGCCTTATCTTCCTGAGTAGCTGGGATCATGTGTGCGCCACCATGCTCTGCTTCTTTTTATCACCACCATCCGTGAACTCTCTGATGCCTCCGAAATTGCTTTGGTTTGAATACATTTCCTGAAGTTCAAGTGCTGGAAATTTGATCCCTGCAGAGGTAGTGTGGGGAAGTACAAGGTAACAGGGGTGTGAGAGTCATGAGATCAAATCCCTAAGGAACAGAATAAGCCTTTATCCTGGGAATGGGTTCGTTATAAAACATGAATTCAAGAGCCCACACTCTACCTCTCTTGTGGCCTTCTACCATGGGATAATACAGCAAGAAGGCCCTTGCCAGATGCTGCCCCCTAGTCTCCAGAGTTGTGAGATAATGCATTTCTGTACATTATAAGTTAGCTAGTTTGTGGCACTCCATTGTAGCAGCACAAAATGGACTAAGACATTTGGGGATAAGAGTGAAATGTTGCTATAACAAATACCCAAAGACATGGAATTGGCTTTGGGAACTGGGTAACGAGAAGACTGAAGAATTTGGAGGAAAATCTAGGAAAAGCCTGGATTGCCATGAGCAGAGAAAGTATTAAAGACAATTCCAATGAGAATGCAGAAGAAAAGAACTGTAAGAAAAACCTGACACTTCTTAGAAATCTAGTGGCCATGATCAGACTGTTGGTAGAAATATGGATGGGAAAAATCCATTTTGCAGGTAGAAATGAGAAATATCTTATTGGAAACTGGAGTAAAGGCCATCCTTGCCACAAAGTAGCAAAGACCTTGGCTGAAGTGTGGCCATGTTCAAGGATTTTATGGAAGATAGAAATTAAGAGTGATGAATTTGGGTGTCTCTTGGGAGAAGCTTGTAAACAAAAGGTCGAGGAGCTGTGTGACTTCCTAAAACTGCATACTGCCAGATGGTGCAGGCCTGTAATCCCACCACGCGGGAGGCTGAAGCAGGAGGATTCCCCCAAGTTTGAGGCCAGCCTGGGTTACGTAGTGAGTTCAAGTCCAGCCTGGAGTCTATGGCAAGACTCTGTTCCCAAAAAGAAACCAGAAAACAAAACAACAACAGCCCTGTGTAGTGTAAAGTGAGAGAAAAGAGAAATTATTTAAAGGTGGAATTTATAATTAAGAGGAGTCAGAATATAGAGATGTAGAAAACCTCAGATGCACCATGTAAACGCTGAAAAAGAAGCTGGATATAGTGATACACACCTGCAATCCCAACATTCTTGGAGATTGAGGCAGGAGGACTGCAAGTTTGACCTCAGCCTGGGTAACTTAGAGACCTACTGAGACCCTATCTCAAACAAGCAAATGTGCAGAAAAGAGCAGCAGGGTATACAGAGGACATGGTTTAGTATACATGGTACTGAAAAATTAAAAATAAAGAAGTATGAAAAAGGAGGATTCTAGAAAGAAAATCAGGAGTATGGCCTAGCCCCACCCTTTGATAAGGAAATCAATGGATAGAAGGGAACCAATAACTTTTTAATTTCTTTTAATCTTTTATTTATTTATTCAGTACATGGTCTTGCTTCACAGCTTGGACTATTAGTGATTCTCCTGTCTCAGCCTCCCCAGCACTGGGATTACAGGCATACACCATTGCGCCTGGGGTTCCAGGGCTGTCACAGCATGAGGTACTGGGGATCCAACCCAGGTCCTTTCGTTTGCCAGGCAGGCACTTAGACCGCCAAGCTATCTCCCCAGCCCACCAGTAGCTTTTTTTTTTTTTTCACATTTGGAAAAGTTTTATTGCATTGTTTCCACTTGGAAGCACTGACTGAATTGAAAAGAGGCAGCGTGTTCCACCTTGGGAAGGATCACAGGGTGGGATTCCCCTGACCTAGGTTTGGACTAAACGAAACTCATCCCCGCCCCCACTTAAGCCAAAGCAGAAAGGGGAGGTTTGTGGCAATTGCTTAAAAAAACCAAATCAGTGTGTGGAATTCAGGGATCATTGGTGGTCCTTGAGTTTTGGTGCCCTTTCCCCCAGCTTGTGACCTCCTCAGAGGAACCTAAGCCAGGGGTGCCCCCCATGCAAGGCTGGCTGTTCCCTGTGGTAGCGCTGCAAAGCCCAGCCAGCAGATGCCACCCGTCACCCTCAGGGACATGCACAGTCTGGCCAGGGCAGGGGTTGCCTGCCCCACGCGAGACGCGGGTCTGTGATGCTTTCCACAGAAGCCTGGACGTCTCCGAGGGAGGGAACACTGTGGGGAGGTGTGGAAGTGTGGGGACGCAATGAAGGTGCATGGAGCTGGTGTGAAACTGCCTGTCTTCCTTTCTGATTGTATAAGGGCATTCTGAACTAGAAAACTGTCCTTCCTCTGCTTCCACAGAATCCGAACCCAAGCGCGGCCCCTCACCACCGCCTCTCCCAGCCCACCCATCAGCACAGGCGGTGGCGGTGGTGGCGAGCTTGTGGAGGAACACACGTGTCCACGGGGAGAGGTGCCGTCCCATCCTGCCGTCTGGCTCTCTAGGGCCAGCGGCATCTTCCGCGACCACCAGTAGCTTTTTATTTATTTATTTTTTTTTTTCAGAACGGGGGGTTGAACTCAGGCCCTTGCACTTGCGAGGGAAGTGCTTATTCCACTGAGCCATCTCCCCAGCCCCACCAGTAGCTTTTTAAAGAGACAAAAGGAGAACGACTAGACACATTTCAGAGATGCTCCAGGCTTTGTCTCCCATCACAAGCCCATAGCTCTATGGGGTTCAGGGGATGGGCCATGGGCTCTCTCCATGAGCTCAGTGCCCAGGTCTGCCTCAGAACGCTGCTCCCTGAGTTTCAGAGAAGTTTTGGGGTGCAAGTCATCCTGCTGCACCAGAGGTCACAAGCAGAAAGACTTAACACATCCCTGTCGGGCTAACTGCAGGAATACACAATACTTGGGCTATAGGACCGGGGGCGGTAGCAGCCCTCAACTAGATTTGAAAGGCTCCGTCTGCTGGAAACTGGCCACAGGGCCAGGGCAGAGAACCTCCTAGTAGAGCAATGTGCGGTGGAACTGTGGGTTGGAGCCACTGCCGAGTCCTCAGGAGGCCCAGTAGAGCTATGGTGGCCCAGCTTCCCCACCCCCAGGCTGTCCCCTCACCCCAGGCTGGAAGAAATGTAGAGCTACCAGTGTGCGGCACCAGCTGGGAGAGTTACAGGCCTGAGACTCCAACTCTTGAGAGTTGTTCCATGGGCTGATCCCAGCACATGTAGAAATGTGTGTATGTGTGTGTGGGGGGGGTATTGTGGGGTGTGTGTGTGTGCAGGACATGCTGAGGCCTTGTGTCCAGAAGACAGCATATGGAATCAGATTATTCTGGAATTTAAGATTTAGTGTGGTTCACCCTGTTGGGTTTTTTGGACTTACTTGAGGCCTTCTTTCCCATTAAGTTCACTTTGGAATAGGAATGCCTACCTGTGTTTGTTTCACCCTTTTTTTTTTTTTTTTTTGGTATGTATTTGGTACAGAGTCTCACTATGTAGCTCACAGCTTCAAGCTTGGACTCGGAGTGATCCTCCTGTTTTCAGCCTCCCCAGTGCTGGGATTACAGGCATATGCCACTATACCCCAGGCTCTGTGGGGCTGGCGCAGCATGTGTTGCCAGGGATGGAACCATGGTCCCTGCACTTGCCTAAGTGTGGCTAGGCAGGCTTTTTTTTTTTTTTTTTTGCAGAACTGGGGATTGAACTCAGGCCCTGAAACGCTTATTCCACTGAACCATCTCCCTAGCCCCTAAACAGGCTCTTTAATCCACTGAGCTATCTTGTTCCTCTTGATTTGTCTTGATTTGTTATTAGAACAAATGGAAGCCCAGTAGTGTGGTAGCCCATGCCTGTAATTCCAGCACTCAGGAGGCTTAAGCAAGAGGATCACATCAAGTTTGAGGCCTGCTTGGGCCACGAAGTGAGTTCAGGGCCAGACTGAACTGCGTAGTAAAATCCAGTCTCCAAAAAAAGAAAAAGAGAAAGCTAAAAGAAAAAAAGAGGGGCAGGGAGATAGCTCGGCAGTCTAAGTGCCTGCCTGGCAAGTACAAGGACCTGGTTCAATCCCCAGTCCCACATGCTGTGATGGCCTGACCTGGGCCCACTGAACCGGCCACCCAGACTGGGCATGGAGATGCAGGTCTGTAATGTCAGCACTGGGGAGGCTAAAAACAGAAGGATTGTGACAAGTTCAAGCTGCCTAGAGACTCTATATCAAATACATAAATTTAAAAAGAAACAAAGAAAGAAAAAAAGGAACAAGTTCAGAGTTTAGGGCTAGCCAGTGATGGTGGTGCATATTTAATCCAGCACTTGAAAGACTGAGGTGGAAAAGTCACCATGAGTTTAAGGCAGGTGCTGGCATTGTAGTGAATTCAAGCTCAGACTGAGCTACATAGCAAGACTCTGTCAGAGGCATGGGGGAAGATCCTAGGGCTCTCGGGATGGATTATTTTCCATATGTTATA